CCCATTCATCAGCTTCTAGGGCGGAAATGTTCGGAGTCGTGGACGAAGTCGCACAAGGCAGCTCTTTCAGCTCTGTGTGCGAATGTGTACTGGTGCCAGCACAGAGTGTGCGAGCATAGTCCAGAGGCCCCTGACCAATGCCAGCTGTGCAGAGATGGTAGAGGCACGTTGTACCATCGCAGGTTTCAGTGCGTTGCCTTCGCTCCCTGGCGGCGCGAGAACCTGGATCCCGTGGTTGCTAAGGCGGCTCGTGCGGTTGGCCATCTCCCCACTCCTGCTGGGGAACTTTTTAGCAGATGTCTTTTCCCCAACCCTGCGGCCTGGGTGGAGCGACCCCCCCGCGACCCGCAGGACCCGTGCACCAGGCACTTTCAGTGGCCTCAGGACGGCCCCTTGTTTATTCCTGAGGGGGCTCATGTGTTCACGGACGGGTCGGGCTTTGAAGGGAAGCTCACAGGACTCGGGACCGCGGGTTGGGCTGTTGTGGTGCTGGACAGGCAGGGTAGGACCCTCGCTGCCCTTTTTGGTGTCGTGCCGATCGGGGAAGCGCCTGGGCAACAGGCACGCGACGGCGAGGATTTCGCTGTGCTGATGCTCTCCCGCCGTTCGGTCCTCTCCTCAGGTGTCTCGCTTCATGTGGACTGTGCGGCCACGGTCGGTTGCCTTCGAAACCTCGCGGGGGCAGCTGGTGCGTCGTCGGCCCGAGCCCACTGGTGGGCTGAGATTGGGGACCGTTTGGAGGGCTTGGCAGTGCATCAGATCCCGTCTCACTCGTCGATGGTTGATGTTAGGGAAGGCCGCATCACTGAAATGCAGCGTTTCGGGAACTCGGAGGCGGACAGACTCGCCAAGGAAGGAGCTGAGCCATTCCGAATTTCGATTGAGGACCGCCAATTTGTGACTGGATATGCAGAGCTTGTCCGACGTGTCGGGCTGTACAGTGCCAGGCAGCAGGCTGAGTGTAGGGATTTGGCCCTGAACGATCATCAAGGGTTGGAATGGCTCGGCTACGTCCTCCTGGATGCGGCCCCTGGCTTCCCCCTTCCTGGTTCGGACCCTGGGGGTGGTGAGCCAAGTGCGCCTAGCGGTGTGCCTCAGGTTGCGCCTGGTGCGGGGGAAGCCCCTGGCGAGGCCCCTGGTGCTGTTTCTGGTGAGCCGCCTCCCGAGAACCCCCCGACCCCAGGAGCATGGCTCCAGCTGGGGCACTCCCTTGAGCAGGGGGTGGTATATGAGTCGGATGGCTGCACGTATCACGATACGATGCTGTGTTGCACGGCTTGTGGTGCAATGGCACATTCCAGCACGAAACGGGGGAATCTTCGGTTGAGGTGTCGTCCTGTTGCGTCTGGGGGACGGGGGTTTTACCTTGACCGATTTCGTGCTGGAAGATATCCTGCCCATAGGAATCCTAAAGGGCTCACTATGGCGTACACGGGTGCCCCCTCTCTTGAGGTTCGCTCGGAGTGGGGGCCCTTCTTTGAGGCCTGGTCCCAGGGCCGCGACCGCCCTCCGAGAATAGCTCGGGGTGCCCAGCCCTCGCGCCGCGAGGGTCCCGCTGCCGACCGTGCGCGAGGCCTCGCCTTGCTCGGCCTGACGCGGGCGGAGGTCGTGGAGCTGGGGGCCGAGGTCGAGGCCAGGCGCTGGAGAGGCGTTCTTCCCGAGGAGGAGGAGGATCTCTTCGGCTGCCTAGGCCCCTCCTAACTTGTTTGTTTTTGTTGCATGCGAATTGGGTCACTCCCTTCGTGGTCGTGGGCGTCCTCCTCTCCTCCTCTCCTCCTCTCCTCCTCTTCTCCTCTTCTCCTCTTCTCCTCCTCCTCCTCCTCCTCCTCCTCCTCCTCCTCCTCCTCCTCTCCTCCTCTTCCCCCTTCTCCTCCTCGCACGTGCCTGCGCCGCGCGAGTCCGTCTATCTGGGCCTATCGCCGCGGGAGCTGGAAGCGCGCAGTTGCGGCCAGCGCCCGGGCGCGGGGCTCGGGGAGAAGCTCGAGAGCGGCGTCTCTCTCTCTCTCTCTCTCTCTCTCTCTCTCTCTCTCTCTATTTCTCTCTCTCTCTCTCTCTCTCTCTCTCTCTCTGAACTTACAGCGTTCTATGCTAGCGTGGAAGCAGCGGCTACCTGGATGGATTGGGCGGCGGGGGAGACGGGGCCAGGGCGAGCGATGGGGCAGCCAGGAAGAGAGGGGGCGTTCAGGACACGGGAGAGGATGGCAAAACATCGAGGACAAGACCAGGAGTGGCCGAGAGCGTCACGATTAGAATCTAAACCAGTCGGCGTGCACCCGAGCAGGCACGCGCAACTCTTGTTGAAGCGTTCTTCCGTGGTCCAGCCACGGATGAGTAACTTGAGGACAGCGCCAGCGGTCACTGGCGTAGCCTTCAGGAGGACGGCCTGGACCTTTCGCCACGGCCTGTTCGGGGCACGGGAGCCAGCTCGCCAGGCGAGCAACAACGACGTCAACCAGAAGATCGGGAAACCGATTGCCCAGCAAGGCCGCGGCGAGGGTGCCCTGAATTCGGATCCTAGGAAGCCTGGGGGTACCTGGTCCGTCTTGGGGCTGCGGCGGGGGGGAGGGAGGGCAGCGATCGCAACGGCAGTCGGACGAGAGAAGAGATACCACGAGGCAGCGAGGGAAATGACCAAATCCGTCCCGAGGGGTCGCGGAAACTTCTCGGCGGCAACCTCGAGGAATTCGGCGAAGGACGGCTGGCGCCGGAAATCAGGAGACAGCTGGCCTCGCAGCGCTCTGCAGGATGGGAGAGCATCTTCGGCGGCAGCTCTGAGCAGCGGAAGCATGTCGCGCCGACCGAGGATGGCGTGGAGGCGAAAGCGGGCGAGAGCAGCGGTTGTAGAGACGAGCAGACCAGGGAAGTGGGGACCATTCCAGCGCCAGAAGTTAAACCGGCCCCCGCGGGGGATGGCGCAGTGGGCTGCGTGCCGCAGCCGAGCCAGCACGGCTGCCTCTTGGGGCGGGGCATCACTGGGCATGGGCATGAATTGCGCAACGTAGCTGAGCACAGACATGACGCGGGTACTGCAATTGAGCGCCATCACTTGATGCGGAGAGACACTCAGGGCGAGAAGTTGACAACGCTGCTGCCACTTGCGCATCGGAGCGGGCCAGCATTCAAGAAGAACTAGCGGGCCCAACCACATTCCGAGGTACGCGAGCGACGGGGCGACCATGACATTCTGCCATTCCGGAATGTTCAAAGACAGCCACGATCGGCACTCTGCTGCCAGCTCGTCACTGAATGCGCCTGCCAAACGAACAATGTGGCACTTGGCCACCTTCAATGCCAGTGCAGCAACTCGTTCAGCAACTCTGAAGACACGCCCCATGACCTTCAGCGTGGAAATGGAGGCGACGGCGGCGCCGACGTCGCCATCGCAGGCGCGGACTATGCGAAACTTCGCGGCGCCCGCCGAGCGGGCGAAATCCCTCATCAAAGGGTCCGCGGCAACGGCGAACAGGAAGCCCGAGGCCAGGCGGCCCTGGACTACGCCGATCATGATCGCGAAGAGCAGGAAGGACTGGTGGAGGTCACCAAAGTAGCACGTGGCGTTATCGAACGAAGATTCACATAACTGCATTAGAGCGAGCGGCATGCCCGCGTGGCGTAGGACGAGAAACATCCACTAATGGGCCAAGCTCGGGAAGGCCCGCTAGAAGTCATAGCTCAAATGGCTCGGCACGTTCATGGCGGCGGACGGCCGCGTCGAATCTGCCCGAGCGCGGGCGTCGACCTCGACGACGTCGCTGGCGAAACTGCGGGGCGGCGCGAACCCGCGTTGGATCTCATGAGTGATCTTCGGGAGCTCTCGGGATGATTGCCTAGAATGGGCGCGCCAGCCATCGTCTTATCATCGGTATTCTTGAGGCCTGGCGGGCACAGGTTATCGGGTGCTCTCGCGCGCCCGCGGGGGGCGCCCGCCTGCTCGGGGCCCTCGAGGGCAAATGTGCCCGGCATCTCGTTATTGGAGCACCCCGCGGCGCAACCGTTGAGCTGCCGCCGCATAGCGTCCAAGAGGATGGGGGCCGAAAGCGCGGAGGCGCGATGAGCTCCGTGAGTTAGCCCGCCGGGGCCAGGGCCAGTGGGAGAGGCGACGGCGGAAATGTCCAGTGTCCTGGCGGGTCGGCGGTCGGGCGCCCGCGGCGTCGAGCTCGGGGCGGCGCTCGCCGAGGCGCACTGCGGCAGCGCGGGCATCGATCTTCTTTTCCTGACAGGGGGGCCAATGCGCAGCGATAGTGGCGTTTATGGGGCATCTCGAGAAGAAGCGGCTGACCCGACTCTGCGTCGTACCACCGCGCGCGGCATCTGGCGGTCGAAGGGCGCCCGCGCTTTGGCGCCCGCGCTTTGGCGCGGTGGGTCAGGCGCCGCGGCCGCTTGCGAATCTGAGCGCGCGAGGCCGTCGACGCACCGGCACTCTCGGCTGCGCCCAACTCAGCTCGGAGCGATCATCTGCTCCTGAGCGTCTTCGAATGGAAGCTCGCCCAGCCGGCGCGCATAGGCCCCCAGGCCCCTGGGCGCGAGCCTGGAGGGGGGGGGGTCGAGGTACATGCGTGCCATGTGATGTAGGTGAAGACGTATTGCTAAACTATGATGGCGTCGCCATGCTGTGCTCGCAATAGAACGAAGTCAGATGAGCCGGGCCTGGGGGGAGGGCGGCTCGGAGACCAGGATGGCGCCTCTAGCGCATCTGCTGATCTGGCACCCTCTCAGAGCACGCGCTCGAATAAATCCAGGGTAATATAAGAGGGGGCGCTCGTGTCGATCGTCGGCCACGTCGTTCCCGCGTATTTCGCGGCGTGGGGGCCCTGGAAGAGGCGCCTAAGAATCGGGCGTTCGTCGGCGGCGGGGGGGGGCGATTGCGGAGGGCGGCCAGGGCGGGGGCGTGGTCGGATATGCGTCGCTGCCCCAGGGTCTCGCGGAGCTTTCGGACCTCTGCCACAGTGTGGAAAGAAGCAAGAATCCACCCAGGACAGGACATGAAGATCCCATCTATCGCCGATGCGCGGTCCCTGGAACCCTTCGCTTTGCACGTGCTCGCTGGTGTCCAACTCAACCATCTGCCGAAGAAGACGCGCCAATGGCGATCGCTGCAGTCGCCACCGCTCTGGCAAAGCAGCGTCTGGCGCGCCGTCGAGTTGGGGGGCGATCGCCTATTGGGGGCCCGCCCGGGATCTTGGAATCGCCGGGTCGTGCTCGGGGCCCTGAACAGCTTTCAACAGCTCCGCCTGCGCATGTCCCAAGAGAAGCCGCGCTTGCTGTCCCGCGATCCCATGGATCCCATAGTGATAGATGTTCTAGTGGGAGGTGGTGGTGGGGGTCTGATCAAGGCTGTTCAGGGCCGTGCGTGAGTTGAACGTAGAATGAAGCGCTCGACCGCGAACCAATACCTTGCGAGTTGCGGAAGCAACGGACCCCGGGAAGATAATGAGGCTTCGGGAAGAGCGCGACCACGCCACCCTTGTTGCTGCATGGGGAAGGAAAACGAGAAGGCCGAGTACTGCGCCCCAGAGAAGCGCAGGACATTAGGAACGCAAAACTACGACCATGCGCTTCCTGAGCAAAACAATAACCCGAAACCCTCAACGCATTGCTTGCAGGTAGTTTTGTTTCATGGTCCGCACTCAGACCCCAGAGGAAATAGCGCGCGGGCGCTCAGGATGCTGAGCGCCATCTCGGGGAGCGGCTTGCCCCCGGTAAGTCCAAACCAAGTGGTACACCAGCCCGCTGCGGCGGCGCCGCTCTCAAGGGTGCGGTTGACCATCGGCTCGAGCTCGCCTCGAGAGGGGCCCAGCGCTGAGAGGTTGATCTCCTCGTGCTCAACTGGCGGCTTCTCGCCCATGCTCGGAGCGGTGCGAACCAATGGTTTCCACGCTGCGCTGCTGACGCCAGCCGCCCTGTCAGCGAAGAGTTCGGCGTTGGGCCGCGCCTCTGACATGATTTCGCGAGTGTGCTTCGTGCTGAGCTCGCGGCGGATCTGGAACACGCTCTTGTCCTCCGACATGGAGAGGTCCGACCGCGCGCCCGTGGCCGTCGAAGCTGCCAGCCTCCCGAGCTCGCTGTTCGGCAGGCGCACGCTGCCCGGGGCCTGTGAGGCCTGGCGGGCTGCCCAGCCTGCCGCGCCTCGCATGCGCACCACTCAACCTTTGCCGCACTTTGCTACCTTCGAGCCTGCACGATCCCTCCTCGAAGTTGCCGTCCTGCAGTAGCAGGAGCAGCGCGTCCATCACGGACTTCTTGGCGGCCAGCCGCTGGGAGCGGACCGCGATGATGTTCGGGTCCGCCCTGCGCGAGCAGGCTCCACCCTGCTGCGCGGCGGGCTGGGGGTCGGCCGACTGCATGATGCCGAGGGCCGTCTTGAGCTCGGAAATCTCCGTCGACATGAATTCCATGCGGGAAGAAATAATAGCCGTGTCGCCTCTTGCTTCAAATGGCGCCTCTCGACCTTGTTGTTGAGCGAACCGAAGTTCTTGTCGACGGACCGCTGGAGGGTGCCACAGGCCTCCTGCTGGTTGCAGTGCTAACGGTGCCCTATGGTCCGACGCCTGCGAACTGCAGGGCGTCCCCACGTCGACGAAACCAAGGCTAACAGCATGCACGCGATCAAGGCCATGCACGAGGGTGCCAGGGAAAAACCGTCGGATGAGCAAAACGCCTCGACCTGCTCCTCAAAGAAATGGTAGCCGTTGGTCGTCTTGCCTTTGCCGTTGGGCCTGCCACACTTGCCTTCAGTGACGCGAGGGTACTTTTGATCAGATGCGCCATCGGCGGGACGATCTGCGGACGCCGAGGATGCTGCATCCTCGGGCATGAGCCGAGAGGCAACATGCGCAGACGACTGTGTTGAGAGCGGGCTGTCTCTGACCTGGGAGAGGAACGAACAAAACCCACGGCCACACGATGGTTCACCGTGGGGATCGTGCGAGAAAACTTGTTGTGGGCGGGCACGCCTCGGGCAAAACCCTTGGCAGCACACGAGCACGAAGCCGCAGGACGACGGTTTCGTACTCGAGGCAAGCCACCCCGGGGGCTCCCGGGAGGCAGGGCAAACCGAGATGGGGGAAGGGAACAGGACTCCAGCTGCTCCCCTCCTGGCACAAGAGGGGAGGGGAGGGATAGGGAACCCACAAAGAACGTTCGCGCCCAATCACGTACATGAATACGGCCCCCCAGTCCACGAAACCAGCCTGGTGATACGACCGTGCGCACAATGCTTACTGTCGAAGTCAACGAAGATTCATGTACGTGTACATACTGCTTTCGTTCCTGAAAGGAGGGACCCTGACATCCTGGCGTTGCATTTTTTCACAACGGCCGGTGTCGCCCAATTCCGGGCCGCGGGACATTCCCTCACTGATCGACCAGGCTCGAAAGACATGACGTAGAACAATTGGGTCTGGGGCTCTGGTCGTGTTTTGTTTGCGATGTTGAAGTGTGCTCCAACATCTGGTCTCAGGGGAGCGAGGGAGGCGCGAATCAGGGAGCTCCTGCGGCAGCGCTGCACGGCGTGCGAACACTTGCATCTACTCAGGCCGTGCCGCACGGGAAATCAACAGCATACAGCCGCCCCTCGTGCAGTCGCGAGGAACGCTGAGTGATCAGGAACGGAAGGGCGCTCCTGACCACGGCGAGCCTCGGCCGCGAAGAGGCCCCCCGAGCAACGCGCAAGGAAGGGGGAGCCCCTCCTGGGCCCGAGGTGCAGCGTCCAGCTGGCATGTGATCGTCCCTCCAGCGCCGAGCGGTTGGGCCCGTGCTACTTCGGTCCAGAGAAGGGAGACTGGGCACGCCCGAGATGGGTACGTGAAGACAGGTACGACGCCCAACAGCAGGTCTTGTCCCCAACCGACGGCAGCCGGTAATGGGCAGGCACCCTTTGCCTCCGATGGACAGCTTCCGCGGCGACACCGACAGTGAGCCAGGATCAGAAAGGACAGAAACTGCTGTCGGTCTTCGTCCTCTTTTGGCAAGGTCTCGGGCTGCGCAGAGACAAGCCAGACCCCCACGGGCAGTCCCAGCTGGCCTCAACAGGCCCCCGAGTAGAGTCGGGGCGTTGACCTAAGGAACCCTAAATAAGGAACGAGGCCCCTTTTTTCCATAAGTGAAACTTCGATTTCCGATCGAAAACATAAGTAAACTTGAAGAAAGCTGTGAAACACTTAAGGAACGCGGAGCCCCTCCCCAGCCAAAAGGGTTCCTTCTTCAGGGCCCCGACTGTAGTCCCAGCTGACCTTCACAGGCCCCCCGAGCAGCCCGAAGCGGACTGCCCCGGGGGGCTGACGAGGCCAGCCCTGGGACATCCTGGGGGGTGGCTGCCTGTGCGTCGCCTGACGCCCCACCACTCATGCTTTCTGTAATTACCCGTCTCGATCGTGTCGAGGGGAGGAAGCCCCCGGGGAAGCAGCCCCCGCAGAGCACCCGCCACAAGCCCTTCGCACGCTCCGCCGACGACCACTGTTGAACCGGCCCCTCTCCCCATGGGTGTGGCCTGGTCCCCACCGGCGGATGTACCCCCCCTACCCCCCCGGCCGGGGATACAGGCCGCTTCCTTTTGGTTTCGAGGGGTACATCCCAAGCTGGGGTGCTGAGATGGCGGGGCTC